GCGAGGAAGGTCCGGTGACGTGCGGGTGGGTGGACACTTGTGAAATTTCGCCTAATGCGTGGTCCATAAGTGACGCTTTCTTTTGTTGATTTTAAGTTAGGAAAATGACACAAACACTCTCTTAACTTTGGCCTAATGTGTAATTTGGTCCCTGAACTTTTAATTTGTTCAATGTAGTCAATGAACTTTAAGCCAATGTTCAATATGGTCCTCGAACTTTTGGTACATGTTCAATTCAGTCCCCGAACCATATAGGTTTAAGAACTTAAAAATGATCCCGTGTCACGCGAGGTATGGGCTTAGGGAGAGTCAACGTTTTTTACCAATGGCCCGCTTGTGGTGTTATCAAGGCCGTTACTTGTACATACCATTTGAACCGCCTCATAAACAATTACCTCTAAACCCATCCGAGAGGGTACGACCCTTGAAGGGTAGGTCGCAACAGATGCGGACCAGTTTTGTTATCAATGGTTAACGATTAGTTTTCGCTAAATAATTTCTCGAGAATAAGGTCGTTTTCGACTACGGGTGATCTTGTGAATGTTGTTTGGGAGCTGCAATCTTTGCCGATACCTCGTAGCATCGATAACATGACCGTGATTCGCCTTATGATGCTATCAATAGAGCGATACACTTCAAGAAGTTGGTGTTGTAGGGCCAGTCGTGCTTGGGTCGGGACACTTTCGGCTAGTAATTCTAAGTCGGATGCAGTCCTCAGGCCGAGCCAGTTCAATAGGCCTCATGCATTTCTACCAGAGGTGATTGGGGTGGCCGGAGTCAAAGATCTTGAAGGCTAGTCCGAATCCAAACTATTCTTCGGTTGTGGTTTCGGATAATGCTCACATTGACATGGCATGGCCGGCGCTTACGCGAATAATTTTTATAAGCTTTTTCATAATTTTTTTGATTTATTTCATTTTATTTTCTTTCTTTCTTTTTTCCATTTTTTTCCCATAGGAACTTGGGCAAGAGCCGCGACACCCTCGCTGACACCCTCGCCAAACACAGCGAGGGCGTTGTGGCCCTCGCCCATGGGCCAGCAGGGGTTGCCGAGCCTCGGCTAGTGGTAAAAAAGAAAGAAAAAAATCATAATTTTTTTTAAAAAGTTATAAAAATTGTTCACATCAATACCGGCAATGTCACGTAGGAGGCCGGCATCCACATCAGTGGTTTCCGACCAAAATTGGCCGGAAGGGTTAAATTGAGAAATTGTCAAAATGTTTAGGATTAAATTAATACAATTTTGATCAAAAAAATAAATCAGCACAAATGTACCAGTTTGGGGTTTTAGTGGTCAAAAAATTAGTTCGTGATAAAATTATCACATGTGTATTAGTTTGGGGTTTTTGGTGATAAAAAAATTAGTTTTGGGTAAAATTATTACAAATGTACAAGTTTGGGATTTTTGGTGGTAAAAAAAATAGTTCGGGATAAATTTATCACAGATATACCAGTTTGAAATATTTTGTGATAAAAAAAATAATTCGAAATAAAATTATCATAAATATATAAATTTAAGATTTTCGTGATATTAATCCCGAATTATTTGGTCATCAGACGGTGCACCTTTTCAAGTTCTGATTTGCTGCAATGCTCAGATTCTTGTTTTTCTTGGGCGCCGCTTACCTTTTCAAAGCATCATCATTCTTTTTCCCCTTGAAGCACAATCGATGAAAGCGAGATAACCCGTTCCACTTGTCGCATGCAAAACATAGGGCAAACTCAGTGCATGACGAGACAATTATTATTCCACGGCAGCGACAAAAGCTTCTTTTGACGTTGCCCGTCTTCAATCATACGAAGGGCGAACCGGCCAGCCCCACGTGGTCGGGATCTGGAGAATCCGGGGAAGGTTTCCGCCCAGCTTTGTCTTTGATATGGAATGCTCTGTACCTCCTGCCCTAAGCTCAAATTCTCGATCACCCCCCATTGAGTCACGGCGGTTGATGTGGACGAAAGAAAAATAAGCAAACTATTTGTCAAGATATATGAAAAGAGTGGAATGAATTTAGTGCTTCATCAAAGGTTTAACAAGGGGCTGGTGCAAGCCGTTCGTCGAGGGGGGAGGGTTGAAGGTCGGGGACGAGATCGGGATGCTCCGGGACCCGTCCCGTCGCAATCCCAAGTTCTTCTTTTAAGGTCCTTCGCAGGGTTGCCCGCGGCTTGAGTTTTCATTAGAAAGTTTTTTGCGATAGGATCTCGTTCTCTTTATTGTCCTTTTCTTTTTCTTCTTTTAATGTTGGCTTGTAATGGTTAGGGTCGGATTGGGTTTCCATGCGGGCTCCTTCGCAAATGTTGTCCGTGGTACAAGCAAGGTGGTCGCTTGAGTTTGTCATTAGAAATTTTTAATGTTGGTTTGCAATAGGAGTGCCAACGGGTGGGTACTTATTATTCGAGACCCTTGCATTGTGGTCGGAGAAAGTCAAAACAATAACATGATTTTGAGCTTTGGGCTTTATCTTGTTCTTCCCACACAAAGTGATAAGTTTAGCTTCTTTAATGTTGGTCCTCTTTAGTCAAGCGGCTCGCGTCGGTTACCTGGCAAAAGTTTAATGAGAAAAACTTCTTGACATCCACTTTTAACCTCAATAAAGTGCATCACGTTGCTTATTGAGAAAAAGCTCCTCATCATCCACTAATAATAAAATACATCTAATGATGGTTCAATTCGAAAAGCAAAAAGCTCCCTTATGGATTGAGTGGATTAAACATGACAGTGTAACATGTACTCTTTTTTTTTTAATTATTGGTCGAAAAGCAAGAGCGTGAAGTATATAACATGTACTTCACGGGCTCGATTTTTGGGTAGGGTGGGGTCGATACAATTTATCACACCAGGATCACATTACAGTCCAAACAACGATAGAATCGGCTTCCCTCACCCTCGCCCTCTTTTGTCCCCCAACCCCCCTCCGTTTTTTGTCCCCTTCTCTCCTCTTCGTGCTGTCTCACTCTCTCTCCGCCTAGAAATACCTTGGCCATCACCCAACCCAACCCAACCCGTACGCTCTTAGCGCACACCGTGGCAACGATAGGCTCAATCTAAGACCCACCCCTGCTGGCCAACTCACCCAACTCCTCCACCATGCGGAGCCCCCCACTCGTTCCCCTTCAATCAAACGATTTAATGAAGGTTGTGTCTCGTGACAATAAAGGACCAGCCAATCGGACAACCCCCCTGAGCCAGGTTTGACTTTTGAGACATGCAAACCAATGCAATCACCACCCCTTTCGCCCCGCGCTTTTTAGCCTCTGCCCTCTTGCTTTCTCATGTGCTTCCAACTTTCCCTCTCTCTCTCTCTCTCTCTTTTCCCGTCTCCACTTATAAAACCCTCCCAACACACGCTGTGGCAAAATCTCTTCTTCTTCTTCCAACTAGGTACGGTTCCATCCGACTAGCTGGTCCTCATTCCCTTCCTTTTCTGATTTGTACTCTCTTCTTTCTACACCTTTCTCTCCTTTCGAGAACACATGAAGAGGACCGAACACCGCGCTTTTTGTTTCTCATGTGCTTCCAAGTGCCAACTAACACTCTCGACCTTATAAATGCCCTCGGGGCACTACACTCTCAAGACACGCTGTGGCAATGACAGGATCAATCTCAGATCGGGAGCTGCAGAGAGCCCTCCGTCGACAGAAGGTTCACTTTTGGTGAATACCAAGCAAGTTCAAGAGGACGTGGAAAGAACCGGCCGTAAAGTTGGTCTTCTTCCGCATTTCAGGCTAACGAGTAAGTAAACACAGTTCATTCAATTGCAATATCCGAAAACCATCCTATGGCGACCCCTCCATGGTTTATACTGATCCATAATTCTGAGAAGTCCGGAGTCGTCGACTCTGACGAAACCCCCATTGTTTGTGCAGAGAGGAAGAGAGATCGTCACGTAGGGTCGTCCCGAACAAGAACGAGCGGCCCATTCTGAGACGTGAGGGAGAAGAGATGGACGGTGCTGGCGTCACCACGGAGTTGGTGCTCTTCAAGGACCCGTGGAAGATCAAGAAGAAGCTGATGGAAAGCGATCTCGGGCACTTGTCGCGGCTCCTGATCCCGCAGGGCTGCGTGAGGACCCACGTGTTCCGCAGATGGGCGAGGAGCTAAGTAGCACGAACACGCGACACGCGACACGACACGCGATACGTCATTTTTAAAAAATAGAGAATTCCGACGCGTTAGAACACGTTGTATATTAAATATATATTTTTATATATATATATGATAAATTATTATTTTAAATTTGATTCAAATAAGTAAATAAATAATAATAAAAAGCCTAGAGTGAACTTACCCTAAAAAATTATACACATAAGTTTTCAAAAAATAATTATATATAAATAAATATATTAATTAAGAAACTAAAAGTAAATAATTAAATTTGAAAAAAAGGAAAGTACAAGATAAAAAATAAAAAATAAAAAAAAAGCAGCCAGCCCACTTTCCTTTTCTTTCCCTAGATTTTCTCGTCTTTTGACTCTATCTCTCTATCTCTCATCTCTGTATCAATCTCTCGCGCTCTCTCTCTCTCCCTCCCTCTTCTCCGATCAGATCTCCGGCAGTTCTCGGTGCGAAAACTCCGATTCGCTCAGCTCGCTCATCCATGACGCTCTCCGATCGGGGGTCGTTGGTGAGTTCTCAAAACCCTTCCCGACCTCGTTGTTTGACCTAGATTTCCAGATCCTCCCTCCCCCGGGCAAATTCTCTTCCCCCATCCTGACCGATTCTCAGATCCCCCACCTCCCCGTTCCCCATTTCTCCAAGAGGATTCGTGGTGGGGTTCGCAGCATCCGAGCCTCGATTTGGCGAGCGAGAGATCTGAGAAAAGGGGGCTTTTCTTTCTTCTATCTCCCTTTTGCTCCGGACTCGCGTGTCGCCGGCGTGTCCGGCGCGTTGACCGCGTGTCGGATCTCCGACACGCGTTGACTGCGTGTCCGAGCGTGTCGGCGGCGTGTCGGACACCGATTCGGAAGCACAAATAACGTGTCCGTGCTACTTAGTCGAGGAGATGGTGAGGCGGGTCGAGAGCAGGGACGGGATGAAGGTCGCCGTGAGGGACGCGGCCACAGGCGACGAGTACCGGCTCGTGTTCCGCTACTGGGCGTCGTCGAGGAGCTACGTGCTGAACAAGGGCTGGAACAAGCTGTTCGTCAAGGGGCGAGAGTTGAAGGTCGGGGACGAGATCGGGATGCTCTGGGACCCGGTCTCTCTCAAGTTCCACTTTATGGTCCTCCGCGAGGTTGTTCGTGGCACATCCTGCGCAAACTCAAGACAGACGACGACGACGACGACGACGACGGTGGCGACAAAAACGATGCAAACGCGACAAAGAGAAACAACCGCGCGCCTCACCCGCAGGTCACCTCTAGCTCCCACAGAGGTTCCAGACTCCAACGCCACCCCCGAAAAACAAGCAAAAGCCAAAAGTCAAACGTAATCATCACCACTGGCATTCTGATATTGTAAGAAAGACAAGAAATAAAAAACCAGAAAAAAACCAAAGAAGGAAAGGAGGAAAGGGGAGGACTCTCGCCTGTCTGTCGGCCCGCAAGCGACCTAGCGTGTTGGCGTGCGAGGGGCGAAGGTCGCCCGCTCACGTGGGGGGCGCGCGCGACCCCCCCGGGTCGTGGCCGTGGGCTCCAGGGAAGAGAGAATCGTTGCTTTTTGCACACGATTTTATGAAGGTCGTCTTGTGAATGGGACAGCCCCGCTGCGCCCCGTTGTGGCGACCCATTGAAACCAATCCGATCACCACGTGACATAAAGACTAGCAAGTGGCTTCATTAATACATTAATAAAAGAGTGGAATGAATTCAGTGCTTCATCAAGGTTAAAGTATAGATGTCTTTCAATTTAAATATGCTTAAATGACTACTCCACTGTCAGCAGCACGCGTGTATAAAATCTACATTTTAGTGAGCATTTATCGACGGTTTGAATATTAACTATTTCCACGTTGATTCGATCAAGTATCGATTTTCTCTGTTCTTTGTTTTTGCCACATGTTATATGATAGTATATGTTTTTGCATGCCGATTTTGTGGGGAAAAGATTTGTCCAGCGAGTTTCTTAGATCTCAACGTTGGTCGGAAATCGTTGATATAGACGTCGACCATCCTACGTGGCATGATCGACGCTAACGAGGACAATTTTTGTAAGATTTTTTTTTAATAATTTTTTTCATTTATTTTATTTTATTTTCTTCCTTTCTTTTTTCCTTGTTTTTTTTCACGAGACCAATGACCTCTGCCAGACTTGGCTGAGAGCCGCGACACCATCACCGACCACAGTGAGGGCTGCCGAGTCTCGGCCAGTGGAAAAAAAAAACAAAAGAAAAAAATCATAAAATTTTAAAAAAGTTTTAAATTTTCTGGTGTTTGGATCTCATTTGAAAAATGATTTTAATCCCATGATTTTATCTCATGCAAAAAAATAATTTCGAATTTTTTAATATTTTTATTTTTAAAAAGAAAAAAGAAAAAGAAAAGAAAAGAAAGAAAAGAATAAAATTATAAAAAAGTCAAGGGAAGCAATTCCGGAAAGTGTTTTTACCTTATTAGATTATGTAATTCACTTTCTTAATTTTATACATAAATGTTTTCCTTAACCAGAAAGTGTTTTCAGTTGACTAATTATTTTCGGCGAACCAAACGGGTGAAAGTCCGGAAAACGGATTCTCGGAAAACACTTTCCCTTAAACAAACGTACCCTAAATTATGGTTTCTAAGGTGCTAATTTAGAGAGATTTGAATTTATAGGGTAGTTTTCTCACCTATAATTTGTAATTCCTTACGAATTACGGATATCTTACTCAGAATAAGTGAATTGAGGATTTTATGCCCATGTTTTGATGTGAAAAATCGGGAGCAATGAAAGTAAGATGTACATTATACACGAGAGGTACACGAAACATGATATTTGTCTATTTGAGATCAAATAATTCCATCATTCAAACTTCAACAAAGTTCAAACAACAAGTGGGATTGGAGTCACGGACTACTCCAATCGCACGATTCCCTGAAAGAGACTAATGCTAAGCAATATTAAAAGATTCGAATACATTTAGTGCTGCCAATTAAAAGAGAAATGCTAGATCTTAAGATAAAATCAATACACTACTATTATGATGTAGCATAAATTAATTGGGTACCGAAACAAATGCCCACTTAGAGTACGACACATCATCAGTAGTTCGGTCTTAGTATATCTAGAGCTCTTAAGCTAATCACAAGCTTTCTCGCTTCCTAACACAAATGGCATTAGGAAAAACTAATGCGGTGAGTGCTTAAATTAGGACAATCATCTAATGTTAATTATCTGCATCTATCAAGATTCAATAATCCTGGAGTTTGGAGGTACGTGTCTTTATGCTTAACCCGAGTTTGTTTAGATTTTTTTCTAGAAAAAGGATATATAGGCTCCATTTGTTTCGCGGAAAATGAGTGATTTGGAAAATATTTTCCTAAAAAGATCGCTTTAATTGCTGACAAAAATGAATAAATGAAAAAAAAAATTCGTGGTCCACGAAAATATTTAGATATAAATTATTGTCGGAGATGAAAATAATTTTCATTAACTAATTATCTCAAGCGATAGAATCGATCATTTTTAGGAAAATATTTTTCAAATTACTCAATTTTCGTTAAACAAACGGAGTGCTGGAGCGTCAATATTCATCTCACTTTGTGGTCCATGCAAGACAATTTATTTCCTCAAAAGCTTGAACGGTCCAACAATGTATACGTAGCATATTTCTTAACCATTGCCTAAGTACAGTAAGATATGCCACTGAGTCGATCATGTCGCGTGTTAGTTTTTACCCCCTTACAATGGAGACGGAGTTAAATTAGCAAGTGTGTAATACATTACTAATTGGCTGGATTATTATTTGTGTTTAAAAACAAGGTTAATTATAATATTTGTTCTTCCATGCACCATAGGAGTTACCATCATGTTGCACAACACACGAGCATGGCCAAAAACAACTATTTCTTCTAAATAGCAAATAAATCATCTGGCAGTTTTTAACACATCACTCCATGTCTGTTAACCAAATAATAAATTTGGGAGATATTTTTCAATCAATTCAACATCTTAACTTGTTGGCTTTCAAATTATTACATTACGTGGAAATATCATATATTTGTGTCATATTGCATATAATTTCCATAAAATAAATCATTTATTATAATGGGCACATCTAGCACCAATACACATTTTGGCTATGAGCACAACCAATTTTATTCTGGAAATAGCGAGTTTCAAGAAATTGCAACCTAAGGGGTGACCGTTTAGGAAATATTTCTCTTGATTCAACCCTGATTAGGAAACACTTTGCAGTTCACGCGCCGACTTTCACAACTTTGATTTTGTTCGATTGTAGTTCGATCGCTCTCAAGAAAAAAAAAAAAACTTGGATCCCAAGAAAGCAGAAAAGCCCATCAAGATGCTCGATTTCTTCGACCGCAGGTCTCCTCTGATCGTCATTGATCACTCGCCGCCGGCACCATCGGTGGTCTCTTCGTCGTGCGTTTCTGATGCTACCCCCACTGACGATGATGAGGAGGAGGAACATCGGAGCCAGGAAGAAGTTTCATCTCCATGTTCCTGGCTAACCCTCCACTTGTTCCCCACTCGGACCTGCAACAACATTCAAGAAAGCTTCTCTTTCTCGGTCTTGAACAATCGCGGTGGCGACCCGCGTCAAGATATCGATCCCGCCCCGCTTCGTGGCAACAAGCGGGAAACTCTGGAGTCGTCGACCTCTGAGGAAACCCCCATTATTTTTGCAGAGAGGGAGAGATCATCACGTAGGGTCATCCCGAACAAGAATGAGTGGCCTGTTCCAAGACACAAGGGAGAAGAGAAGTACTATGCCGGCATCTCCACGGAGTTGGTGCTCTACGAGGATCCCTGGAAGATCAGGAAGAAGTTAACAGAAAGCAACCTCGGGCACTTGCTGCGGCTCCTGCTTCTGCGGGGCAGCGTGAAGACCCACGTGCTCCAGTGGATGGGCGAGGAAATGGTGAGGTGGGTTGAGAGCAGGGACAGGATGGAGGTCGTTGTGAGGGACGCAGACACAGGCGACGAGCACCGACTCGTGTTCCGCTACCGGGCGTCATCGAGGAGCTACTTGCTGAACGGGGACAGGAACAAGCTGTTCGTCAAGGGACGAGCGTTGAAGGTCAGGGACGAGATAGGGATGTTCTGGGACACGGTCTCTCGCAAGTTCCGCTTTATGGTCCTCCGCGAGGTTGCTCGTGGCACAAGCAATGCGGCGGCTTGAGTTTTTATTGGAAAGTTTTGGCAATAAGATCTTGCTCTTTGATCTTGATATCGGTCTGTGATCGGTGAAAGTTAAAACAAGAGCATGATTAGGGTTTAAGAGTTTCTCTTGTTCTTCTCACGAAGTGATAAGTTTCTCTTTTTCGACTCAAATGTATACGATTCAAAAATTACTGTGCAGATGCAATTTGTTCACTCTGTCACGTTCGTTGATTAGCTAAACGAAGAATTATTTCGTCATTGCTGCAATGCTAGATTCTTGCGCGCCAATTCCTCCGAACTGTAAACTTTCATGGAAGCCTTAAAGCATCTAAACCTTTTTCCCCCTTAAAGCACAATCGACAAAAGTGATCGATGAAAGCCCCGGGTCATTAACATTCTGCGGAGCCAAGCTCATGCGGACCCGACCTGTTCCGCTTGTCGCATACCCAATGCGGTGACGCCGCAATGCATGACGATGATCATTCCATAATCTTCTCTATCTTTTTCTTTTTGATCAAACGACTTTATAAAAGTTGAAGCCCAGAAGCTCTAAGAGAAAAGAGGGGTTCAAATCCAAAACTTCGTGAGGAGGAGGAGACAAACTAAAGAGCAAGGGCAACCTGACATTTTGGAAACACGGGTCAATGGCAACGCATTTTAACGGTGTTATTTTCATGGCGGCGACGATGGTGGCAACAACGGTGGCTCTACTGCCGGGATCTGCTGTTCAAATGCCGGCACCACCTCCTGCGCATTCAAAAGGGGCGGTGACCTACACCTTTTGTCGACAAATCATCGATGTTCTAATCGTTCATCCATTGATGAAAAAGAGGCACTGTTTCTGGAGTTTGGCCTGTGATCATGCAAGATGCAACACCCTCTTCTCCCTTTCTGAGCAACTCTTGGATGAGAAATTACTAGGTAAAGCATAATATATGCTCTCAACTAAATCTCCTCCGTCTAGCGGTGTTAGGGAAAGACATACATTAAGGCAATAATGCCAATGTCGGGCCAAAGCTCCTTGAATTTTTTTTACCGATAATCCATGGGGTAATGGATGCGGATTGTGTAAAAGAAGGATTACAAAGATGTATACTTAAAACTAATCCAAAACGAGTGCGCGATTAGGATTCAAGAGTTCCTCTCGCTCTTCCCACGAACCGATATATATATTATTTTCAGATTGGAATGCACGTGGTTCAAAACTAAGCGAGGAGATGCAATTTTATTCACTCTATTGTGCTTGCTGATTAGCTAACCATGAATTGTTTCGGGAAGACATTAGTTAGCGTATATTGTCAGATTTTATTTTGATGCAATGTTATAGGAAACAGTGCATCGCAGACATTTTTTTAAGGGATAAAGACATGAATGATCGTATTCGGTTTAAGTACTTAAAGTAAAGAGGAACGCACATGGCTCGAGTTTTGCTCTCCACACCTATTGACCAAGGAAGCGAATCCTGCCGACGACGGCATTCAGATATCCACATCGCTTCTTTCGTCGATTAAACTCTTCCTAAAGATTATCATAACCCCGGGCAAAGTTCCCCATTTCGCTTTTTCGAGAAAACCACTTCCGGCAATATGGTATAACCAGATACCTTAGGTTCCCAAAAAATGAAAAGGGTAATGCACCAATTCTTCACGTTTAGACAAACCATCCCTTTCATGTTTTGTTTTGTAGGGCTTGAAGCATTACCATGAAAAGGATAATGGCCGATACCTAAAGCGGATGGGGCTTCGCTTGTTGCACTAAATGCGTCTCTAATTTTCGCATGCAGTACACTCCCTGGAGTCATTAACCTATCACAAGATCCACCCACATCTTCACAGGGAATAGGAATGTCCAAAGGATGTTTCGACACTACTTATTGATTTAAGGTCGCTAATATTTCTCCGTCAAGAGCATCAATACATTCCCCGGCAAAACAAGCCAGACCTGGTCCGAATACCACTCGACCGCACTCCCTGCTGGCAATGTACGGATGGTTTCTAGCTGTCGCATTCCGACACTATCATTCCAGAATCGAAGGGACGATTCATTTTTCCTTTTGGCGCAAAGGTTTCATGGATCCACGCACGCAACCAGCGAGATACATAGCCTTCCCTAGACGAGCAGGAGAGCCACCTGACAGATAAACAACAGCGAAAAGAGTCGCAGAGAAGGAAGACAAGGACAGAGGCCCTCCTTTCCCTTTTCGTTGGCAAATGTAACGTATTAAATATAACTAAGAGAGCATGCATCGACTAATCTAAATCAAAGAATTGAATTCCTACTCTAAATGAAGTTACAATCAGAATAAAAGGGAAATTATTCATTTATATACAAATCCATGCCCTCCCACACCTTGCCGAGGCATCCCCCATTGCAGATATGTCTCTCTTCCCCTTGAGGAAGAGCAAAAGCATTCCAACCAAGTACACAAGTTTTTTTTTTCTTTCTTTTACTCCCTTCCCTTCCTTTCATACAAATAAGAAGCTTCAGTGCAACTAAAGGGAAGGGGCAGTCACAGAGAAGTGTTTCCACCATCCACTTGTATGCCCAGAGAGACTGAGAGAGCCTGAGCAAGCAGAGCCCATTCAAGAGTCAAACACTCCTTTGACAAAAACTATAAAACTCTAAGTTTCTAGTCTGCAGAAAATTCGCGTTCATGCCCACATTTCTATTTTCTGAGTGCCTTTCTATATATTTTTTCATAACACTCGTAAAAACTCCGGTATCCCCATGATGTAATTATCAGAAAACTACTTAAGAAAGCAACGTTCTTACCTTAAAATCCGACGCCAGCAAGTTTACCGAAACCATCTCGTCCCCACAAAAGGCCCGATACCTGGCTCAGCAAAAAGATAGAGAGAGGGGCAGACCGGCCAGACATGTTGCAGCAAGGTTTCCTGTGCAAGGTGGGGTTGCTGAGGATTTCCGATCCTCTCTATGGCTAATCTCCTAAGAAACTTTCAATTATCAAACAAAAGTAGTTCAGCGGAGACCTGATTCTGTCCATTTTTCGCTTGTTTGAGCAGCGCCTCCGGCCATCGGAGCTTTTCTCCCCCTAAGGCAAGCACTGTGTTCCACGTTTTTAATAAACGGAACACAAGGTGGAGCTTGAGTTTGGAAAAGATCAAAATACAAAGAGGACAAGCAATTAGTAATCTCTCTTCCACACTGTTCCAGAGGAACTCTGCTGCTTCTTCTGTGCGCCGTATTGCCAGGATTCTCTTGATCTGTCACCCACCTGATCAACACCATCCAGTGAATTCTCCACGGGTGGCTTAAGAGGCCGGAAATTCCCATTCCTGGGGATTAAGGATGCTGGCAACTTCTCGTCATCTTCTGGTGCCACCGCTGACCTGGGCTCTGTGTGCGTGTCTGTCAATCTATGCCTCGACCCACTTGACCTCAACCCCCTTGAGTTCAAAGGAGCCTTACCTGGCAGGGGAGCAAGAGTTGGTCCTTTAGGTATGTAAAACTCTTTGGGGACAGAATCCATGTCCATGTAACAATTTCTGGTTTTGGCATCAGCAATCAATGCAGCCCAGTCATCAGACTGAATTAAAGCATTAGCATTTCCCATTACCTATTAAGAGAAGAAAACACGTAAACAATCAGACTCTGTACCTGTAAGTTGACAAGTGAACAGGACAGGGAGTCAGCCAAAAACAGAAATGCAAAAGAACAGGGCTGATGAACCCATACCCATAGAGCTCTCCTAGCACGAGTTAGAGCAACATTCATACGACGAATATCTGCAACAAAGCCAACTCCATGACTTGAAGCACGAACACACGACATTATAATGACATCACGTTCTTGTCCTTGGAAAGCATCGACAGTATTGATATAAATATCCTTCCCTTCTTCTGAATTCAGAACCTCCTCAAACTCACGTTGAAGGCACTTTAACTGCAACTTGTAAGGTGTAATTATGCCCACGGAAATCTTCCCCACACCCATAGATTTCAGATTTTTCTGTAGATGCTCATATATACGTAGACAAAACTGTGCTTCGTGTATATTTTGGTAGGAGACAGAACCACCTCTGTGGGATTCCCGCCCATGTGTAATGTCATAAAATAAGTAAGGTCTAAGCAATGGATCCCTGTAATATACCTCATCAGGTAACTTCACTACACTCTCACTATCGCTTAGGCGTCCCTGGTAAAAATACCTGGAAGGGAAATCACGGATTTGTGGATGCATCCTATACTGAACAGACAACAACATCGTTGGGCATCCAGCCTGTTGAAATCTCTCAAAAAGGCTCCTGCTATATAGAAGAGTCCCAGCTGCTTTGCTGATCACGGTGGCAGGAAGCTGCTGTGGATCCCCAACCAGAACACATCGAGCAGCACCAAGAGAGAGGGGAGGAAGAACTGCCACCTCACTGGCCTGTGCTGCCTCATCAATGACTACCATGTCGAAACCATGAGAAAGGCGGGAGAATAACTTTCTACCACTGCTTGAAACAGTAGTGAAGACAATCTCAGCTTCATTGGCATAACTTGCCTCAAGACTGGCGCGGGCCTCTTCCAAATTAAAATTACTACCGGTACGAAACTTTACTTCTACAATGAGGATGCGAGACATCTCAACCAGCACTTTGTCCCTGTTCTCAACTGCTTGAGCAAGTTGCTTAAGCAACGCATCACGATTCTGGTCCCTTGCCATCAAAACATCGGGATCCACACCAACAGATCCTTGAGAACGAATCGCAGCAGCTGCACTGTTGAGTTTCAATTGAATTTCGGCTATCTCCTGAGAGAATTGAGCTTCACTACTTCTCAACCTGTGCAACCAGGCATACACCTCCTCTTTACCCATGGCAAGAAGTTGCTCGGTTCTCCTTTCAACAGAGACGGCCTGAGCTGCACGTGTTTGTGAGTCGACCCCAACTCGGGCTACATCAGGTTTATATATCCTCATTTCCCCATCAATGAAACCACGATCAAGAACACGAGCCAGGAGCTCATCTGTTGCTGCATTGGAAGGAGCACACACTAACATTCTAGGCTTTGGGCAGAGCTTTGGAAGAGTCCGAAAAAGACTCTGATCCATGCTCTGAAGAACTTCATCAATTGATCCAGTTGCATTATTATCAGAACTGCCCTCGCTAGGTTGCTTGTAGCTTTCAGGTGCCAGTTTCTTGAGCAATGAGTTGTAATAATGTTGATACTGAACCAGATGGATCACATTTAACATACCCCATACAGTATGTGTCTTGCCTGTACCTGGAGGCCCCTGAACGAGAGTGAAGGGCCACGGTTCTTGCCTCTTTGTTGTCCCACTACTTGTACCGGCAGCTGTATGCATAGCAGCCCACTGAATCGCTGACAGTTGGGGTCCGTTAAAGGTCCTGTTTAAGTGTTCTGCAAACTTCTGAGTGAAGCACTCTGGCATGGCAGGGATCTGCTGCTCATAATTAGGAAACTGCTCGGGACTAGGCTGAAGTATCGCTGTTTGCATCTGAAGAGGATAGAATCAGTTAAAAGTGATCTAACACAAGTAACAAAAAATGGCAGTTATACTGAAAAACAAAAAACTCCAGCTGTACCTGCAAATTAAGGCG